TATATTATATATAAATAAATATAAATATATATATTTATATATATATATTATATATATATATATATATATATGCTGACTGATAACTATAAATAGCAGTTATACAAGAATCGATTTGTTCTCTACGAACATTTAATAATAATAAATCACTTTTCCTTTTTTTTTCTTTCGCTATCATTATGTGCATCGAAAAGGTATGGTTGTGAAAAAAGGACTAATGTTTCGTGTGGTGCGGCTTATTATGGTGATGTCGCCTTGATCGTGGCTTTCTAAGTTGTGCGTTGCGTGCTCGTAATCGATCGTATGTTTTGGTCGGGTTCATTCTCGTCCTGAAAATTATTTTTCTAATTAAGATCAGGATTTCTTTTTAATAGAGTAAGTTAATGTGCGCCTGAGGATCCTCCAGGGAGTCTTTGCATCCATTGATTAACATTTAAACATATACAATAAATTATTTAACATGAATCTCTAAAATAAAACTGTCTACAGACATATATAAGAGCTAAGGTATGGGATACAGCAAAAAAATTGAATTACGTTTTTTAACCATGCATCATGCGCAGCATAAATAATTACCGTTTAAGAGCTTTTGGCGTCTCGTGCGCTATAAAGGATATATCATCATGGAAGGCTGGCTCGTAGATCTTCATCGAGTTTTCGCAACGAGAACCTGTTCTTCCGTAAGGACAATAGCATTCGAAGCCCGTTTCCTTGTTTACACAAGTACCTTCACCACAAGCACCTAAAACAAAAAATAATTACAGTGAATAAAATTTACAAATAATTAAATAGGGTCGAGTTTCTTAAAACGTCAAAGTTTTGAAATTCAAGGTTTTCAGTTTAGAGAATTCGAAACCTATTCGAAATCAAAATAAGAAAAACCAAAGTCACTGAATAAAAAGAAAAGAAAATCTCATGTTAGTATTAATGGCACTCTTTAGAAAATTTTACTACATGTGGGACTATATTCAGTAAAATACAGAAGAATACAGATTTAAAATTTTTTAACTTGAAACTTGATTAAATATTTTTCTAATATTGTTTTTATTCGTATTTTGTTTAACTATTAATAAAGATTTGTACAAAATTTTGTTCAGATTTCAATTCTCGAAACAAAATATTTTCCTTAGAAAATAAAATTAACGCTTGAAGTTTTAAAAGTTTTAAAATCTTGTAGATTCTTGGATTTAAGTTTCAAGAATTCAAAAACTAGTTTTAACCTTACTGGTATAATCAAATAAAAATAATTAATTTTACCTGGGAAGCAAGATTGGCCAATATAATCACAATGCTTTCCACTATAGCCAGCACGACATAGGCAGATGTATCCATTTTTTGTAGCAGCTTCCTGACATACACCGCCATTGTTACAAGGATTTTCAGCACAGGTCTCACAATTAGTGATTCCAATACTATCTGTCTGATCACCAATCAAATCAATTTCCTTTTCCCCTATCATCAATCTGCTGATACAGCCAACAAAACCACTGTTGATCTCTGCATATTTATTGATTATTTTGTCACTGGCGACTCCACCAATAAATAATAATGCATTCAGGTCTAATCCTTGTCTTCTGCCAGCTGCAATGCCTTTGTAAGGGCCTTCACCATCAACTAACATAGTTCCCTCTTTTCTATTACGTTGGAGTCTTATAGTGTGCCATTCACCAAGTGCCACAGGTTTTTCTGATCGGATAACAGCTGGTCCTGAGCCGAGATCGAAGCTAATATACGAAAATTATTATTAATAAAAGGAAAATGGCAATGGTAAGATAACTAATCAAAGACAGATTCATTTTATATTTTAGTTATATGACTTAGAAATGATTTATAATGAATTTGATAATAATTACCTGAACTGTGGATAGCCTCTATTTAATGACAACAAAATAAAGTCTCCATTTCCATGGTTGGATTCATCATTATATAGTATTATACCATCATAGCTTTGTGGTTTAAAGGAGATTTCGATGTTAAACTTCAGGTAGGAGTCAGGTAAAGGAGGTAAGGCAATGTAACTTAGAGGTGCCTGACTGAAGTGTGGAACTACTCCTGTTACTACAAGCACTGTGGGTATTTCTATATTTTCGCGATTGTTGTTTGCAGTGCAGACATAGATTCCTGCATCTTCTACTTTAACACTGATCAGCTTCAATTTGCTCTAATGGGAAAAATGGTAAATAAAGCCATAATTTCAACACCTATTTTTGTTGGTTAATTACGTTACAGTATTCTGGTTATCGTACCTCAAAAATTTCAACATTTTGTGGCAAGGAACCTCCCAGTTTGCTCCACGCGAATTTCATGGGTGGATCGATGTTAGGCTGACAATCCATTTCTAAGCTGGACCCATAAGGAGCGTACTTGGTTTCAATCGCTGGTGCATCATTGTTTCCACCTAAAAAAAGAATTCACAATTGTAATGCTGCACTTTTGATATATTAGTATTTAAATACTAATATTATCATATACTTACATTGAAGTATAATTTGTAAGCATAAGCAACATAAAAATTATATTTAATTATTTTAATCTGTCTTTAAGATGATTAAATAACTTCATGAAAATAAAAAGTTAGAAACTAAATAAACCAAATTCAATTTTGAGTCTAAAATTTTACCATGGACAACCAGATTTAAATCCTTTTCAAAAACGCCTTCAGGTGTGTCAGCAGTACATCTATACAGTCCACTGTCACTAACAGCCACATTAAGTAATCTTAGAATATTTCCATGTTCTTGAGCATTTCCTGGTAAATTAGGATGGTTTGGTCTGGACCAATGGTAACGTGGATTGTGGGTTCCAGAGCATACACAACGTATGTCAATGGTATCACCAATGTTTACAGGGTCCTGAGAGACTTCCACATTGATTGCAGGTACATCAGTAGCTGAAATAAAAACAATAGAATTAGTAAAATGTATTAAAAATTATTTTTAAGGTGTACAAACGTAATCCTTCTTCCATCATTGCTTCCTATAATGCAGATTTTAAGGGAAATGTAAATGATTGTGACAATGGACAACTATATATCACTTGAATGAGAGACAGACTACTATACAGAGTAACAAACACACATGGAACATGTTTCGGAAATATATAATTACCATGTTAAATCATCATCATTTTTTACGATCACTATATAAAATTTTTAATTTTCTAAATCTTTGATACCATGACTGCAATGTTTCAAGGTGTAAAGTGATAACAGGATAAACATCAATTAACATTTTTGTAGTTATTGTAATAAAATTATGTTTCTGATTTTCGTCACTTAAAAATTAAAAAAGGTTGTATAAACGCTAATAATTAAAAATCACTAACTACAAAAGTATTAATTTGTTTAAGAAAAGAAGAAAAAAGCATTAATTATCCAAGAGACGTCACACATCGGGAACACATAATTTGTTTAAAACAAACCGCGTTGTTCCTGAAGATAGTGACGAATCCACCGTTTGTTGTAGAAGTAGTCGCGGTTATCGCTGTAGAAGAGAGCACTGACGTTGCAAAAGTAATCCAACAGAAAGCATCCTTGAACGCCGCATATGCAACTGCTTTTCCTGCACTGTGTTTGGTTCATACGTGTGCAATCCGGACGCAAATTAACTACTAATAAACAATACCGCGACAAGCATAAATACAATTCTATCCTCTCAAGTTGCTATGTCATGACTCATTTATGATGATTTTGATCAAACTGAACTAAAGTGAACTCAATTTCAAGTAATTCATGATGAGAAACAATAAAATCTTTTAGTTACGGTTTTTCAATTACACATTATTTAACATGTTTTATATGTTTTGTATTATTTAAACATACCCTATTTAATTTGTATCCAGAGAAGTAAAGGTGTCAGAAAGTTCGCAAACATATGTTTAATAAATCATAAGTAAAGAAGGAATGTCATGCATAATTTAAGAAGACTGTAAATTTCAACTTACACAAGACATTTAGGTTAATATAGTCACTGGAGGTCCCATGAGAAGTTTGGATTTGACAAATGTATCTTCCGCTGTCTTCTGGCCTTACTCTAGGTAGCTCCAAATAATCCTCTTCTCTTCTAGCATTAGATGGTAATAGTTGTCCCTCTCTGGTCCAATGTATGGTGGTTCTTTCTCTAGTCATGCACCTTAATCGTACAGACAGTCCACTATAAGTGACTATATCTCTTTTAGCAGCTCTGATGTCTGTATCTTCAAAAGAATGTTCTGGAAGAGTATTACAATACATTGTTTAGTTTAGTAACTATAAAGTTAGAAGGATCATATTTTATATATTACATACCATTTACCAGAACTTCAGCAACTGCCTCAGCAGTTCCAGCACGATTAGTAGCTTTACAAACATACTTCCCGGCATCAGAGTAAGTGATTCCATGAAACTGGAGGAGTCCACGATTGTGGGTAACAGAATAAGGAAGGCTACGTCCGATAGGGGCCCATTCTATGGTCATTGGTTCATCTCCAGTTGTACTGCACATAATTGACGGATTTTCTCCTGAACGTACTGTTTGTTTGGGTGGAATTAACTCAATTCTAGGCGGGACTGGAAGAATATTGAGAATGTATATTTTCAATTCAAATCTATAATTAATGCATGTAAACAAGATAAAGTTTGATTGATGATCTTACATAATACTTCGAGATGAGATTTCGGACCAAAGAGAAGACGACCGGCTTGATCCATTCCAGAACAAATATACTCTCCAGCAGCACTCTTGTCCACAGAAGGAATGATCAGTACACCATTGTGAACAAAACTACCATCTGGCAATGGTCTACCGTCCGTTCTCTTCCAGTCTAAATAAATTTGATTTCCTTCGGAATCGTCTACATGGCAACGCATCTCGACTTTGCCACCATTGTAAATTTCGAGTTTGTCCTTAGGTATAATGTCATCATCTCTATTGTCCTATAACGAATATGTAAATATTTCATTAATTGTATTTTTACGCGATTTAATTCTTTAATTTATAAAGAAGGAATATGTACCTCGCCAGCAGTGGGTTTATCTTCAGGCGGGTAGATATCTTCCACGCTGATATAGACACGTTCTTCGACAATCCCTGCTGCATTATTCGCGTAACAGGTGTACGAACCTTCATCACTTGGAGAAGCGGAATATATTTCATAAACAGCACTTTGGGCAGTTGATGTTACCTCGTTGGTTTTACTATAGGAAAAATCCAATAATTATTTCTATTTATTTTTTCGATATTGTTATTTTTTTTCGAAAATAACTTACAATGGTGCTACATTTAAGTGTTTACTCCAAGCGACTGTAGGTTGAGGATATCCAGTCGCACTGCAAACTAGCCGTACTCTGTCGCCAGGTTTTACATTCAAAATTTCAGATTTGGGTAAAATCATGATGGTAGGCACAGATTGAACTTCTATGAATACCATTGCAGAGTTTGAACCAACAGAATTGACAGCTGAACAAACATAAGCACCACCATCGTTAGCTGTCATGTTAGAGAGCCTTAAAACACCTCCTGGAAGTTGTTTAATATTGGGAGGAAACGATCGCCTATCTTCGTGAGACCAATGGAGCACTGGCATAGGGATTCCAGCAACTGCTCGACATTGGAGATCTGTAGACCCACCGAGAGTTACTGGAGGGACATCTTTGGGATAAATCTCCACTATTGGAACTTCTCTAGCTATTTAAACGAATTAAAAATAAACATTGTCAGACAAATAAAAATTATGATCCAGTTGTTCATTTTAATTACATTATTTAATTCATAAATCGAATATTCACTCACGTTCAACTTCAATGATAGCACTAGCTTCATGACTTCCACCTGGACCTGTGACTCGACAGACATAGACACCTCTATCATCAATCTGGACATTAATAATTCTCAAGGTATCTCCAACCTGTTGCATGTTAGGACTTATTTGTTCAGGATACTTTTTCCATCTCACTTGCAGACCAGGTTCCCCACTTGTCATACATCTTACTTCAGCTACTGTACCTTGAGGAACAATTTGTTTTTCAGGCTTCACCTTGACAGATGGCGGTGCTCTTCTCGGTGTTACTGTTATATTGATGATATTGCTAGCTTCTGTTCCTGTATGGCTAGTTGTTATGCACATGTAAATACCAGAATCATACTGGTTTGGATTTACAATTGTTAAGACACCATTGTGTTGACTGGCCATAGGAGGCAATGGAATATTTCCTTCTCTAATCCAGGTAATATTGGCATTTTGAGATGGAGTGCAGGTTATTATAATCGTTTCTCCAACTGTTCCAATCCATTGTGGCGGATTGATAACCGGGCGTATTGAAGTTGGTGGTGGTCCTCCACTAGGATCATCTATAAATAAAAAAAATTGTAATCTTGTAAAGATTCTTTTGATCTTAATACTTACAACTGTATTGCAAAACCAGTCATTAATAATTAATTAATACCTTCAATGGAAAGGATGACGGATCTTTCATCAATACCAAAATTATTTCTTGCTACACATTTATATTCACCAGCATCATTTTTGGAAACAGATGCCAAAATCCACATACCATTGTGGATTATTACTCCTGGATTCATAACACCATGGACACGAATCCATTCGATTTGTGGTGATGGATGTCCGCTCGCCTCACATTGAAATTCTGCGGGCTTCCCCACCAGTACATGCAAAGATGGTGGCATGACAACAGCTTTTGGTGCGGCTGGATTTAAATATTTGAACAGAAATATACCATTATTTAAATTACATCAAGATATGTAAAATGCAATCTGACCTAGGATTTATACCTGGAATATCCAGCAAGCTTTGTGGAAAAGCTGCGTCCATATACAGTACACGATACTTAATTTTAATATTTAGAAATATTTGTTTATTATATTTAAAATAAACTTACCTCCAACGGTAAGAGTAACGTTTCTGTAGCCAATATGTACTCCATCGCTAACTTGACAAACATAAATACCGCTATCGGATACTTTGACGTCTCTAATGATCAATAAGCCATAGCTGTCATCCACGCTTCTTCCCGGTGGTAATTGTCCACCTTCTTTTTCCCATTTGATGCGCAATGGTTCCTATATTTTGGGATGTATTTAGTATATTTTACATAATTGTCTAAATTACTTGCTTTCATTTACTTACATTATCAACAGAATTTGCAGCGCAATGGTATTTAACAGTACTTCCTGTTTCAATAATTTGGAACTCTGGACCTTTAATATAAACTAAGATTTTTGGTGGATTTATGGTTGGATATGGCACGGTAGTCGGTATGGTAGAACTTTCTGCAAGAAATTATAAAAATTAAAAGGTATAAGTCTTTAAAGTATATAGTCATGTAACATAGAAACACATCAATGGAAATAATGGAGAGCCTTCAACTACCCAAATCCAACTTTCTACACCCAATCTGATACAAGAAGTTCCTGAACCAAAATGATCAAATGATAAAAGATCTACTAAGCAACAGTGAACACCTCTTATTGCATAGGCATGGCTACAGGAAACAATCACGTAATGATGAAATGAGTCAGGATATGAATGGAGATGAAGACCATGATATATCCTGCTTCCAGGGACAGACAAACACGAATATTCCTTTGATTTGGCCTGTCAAACCTGGTGTAACTGATATCACAACTTTCATTAATGTCTTTCCTCTTTGATCCCAGATGTGACATTCTACGTTGAAGGGATCTCGCTGAGTATAGACGTGCAAGGTCCTCAATGATCCTTTTGATGTTTTTTCAATGGGTTCTTGCTTGATGCTGGTCGCGGTTACAGGTGTGTTGTTGAACGGAGTCAGTTTAAAAGAGATATACAATGGGTATGGGTACTCGTAACTGCATGTGAATACAACCCACGAGTTTGCCTTTACTTCACTCGTCATTGGCGTTAGACTTACCGTCACTTTACCTAACCGATTCAACGTTTGAAATTTTTCATTTAATATCATGTATTCTATACTATTCTGAAGAATTTTCTTTGACCTCAACTAGCGTCCAATAAATTTGATATAACTCCTTTATAATTCTTCAAAGTTTGTTTCATACTTACCAATATCTTGACAATATTGGCCCTCATATCCTGGCTGACAGTGGCATTTCACTTGGCCAGTCCGCATCATTTCGCAACTTTCTTCATTGTTATTGCAAGGACATAGGATGCAGGAACCCAGGTAACTGATAGATCGATCACTGGTGTCTCTATAGTAACCTCTGGCACAGGATTCGCAGGATGTTCCAATGTAGCCAGTTGGACAGCGACAAACTTCTACTTGAATAGCTCTTCTATTACCAGTTTGATGTTCTACAGCTGTATCCAAGCTTATATCGCTAATGTAGGTAGCTGTCATTCGTTCACTATGCGTTGCACGAACTAAAATTGCTTCCAAATTGGAAAGCACTGTCATTAGATCAATTCTGGAGGTTACTCGTGGCCCCTCGATAGTCAAACGCTTCCATTCTGACTCTCTGAATGGCACAGAATAGGTAAATGGGACGCCAAGCTGAATATCTATAGGATTTGTCCAGAATAAGGTGATTCCATTTCCAACTAGGATAATATCCTGGTCCTTATAACTTTGTGCTCCAGGATAAGTAGTGATATGTTGAGTCAAAGACAGATTGCCTCCATAACTTTTAATTTTATTGCCAGTGAAAATGGTTGGTAGAGACCAGAATAATCTGCGTCCTCTGTTATCTAGATATCGATATCCTATCTCATTTGTAGCTAAATTCAATTCGAAACCATCATCAATGATATCTTGTCTTGTTGCATCAGTTAGAGCGAAACCATGTTGATTGTCATAGATCCCCATAGGTATTTGCTGAATGTATAGGGAACTTTCATGACACTGATCTGTCACTCCACTGCAATAACATTCACTACACCCATCTGGATTATCTGCGGATAATCCGAACGTGGCTTGACGACATCGATTACATTCAGGTCCTTCGACATTTCGCTTACAGTTACATCTGCCGCCAATACACACGTTGCTCCGTGAACCAGATTCATTACAGATGCATTCGTCTATCCTACCTCTATAGACACAATCTTGTGGAGATCCTTGAGTTGCATCACCTTCGTAACCTATTTCACACATTTCGCAGAAGTCCCCAGTGGTATGGTGAGCACAGTTCTCGCATACACCAGTATCAGGATTGCATTGGTTAGAGTGACCATTGCAATTACAGGGTTCACAAATACTCAGATAAAGACCTTCATCTGCTCTAGTATATCCAACATCACAATCCTCACAGGATAATCCTTTGTAACCTATTGGACAGCTGCATTCTTCTACCTCCATCGCTCTACTTCTTCCTGTATTGTACTTTTCAGCTGTATCCAAGGATACTAATGACAAGGCAGCTTCGTCGGTATGAGTAGTATACGTGGCTTTAATCATGATCGCACGAATGTCAGCTAAAGCCATTAATAAGTGTTCTCTGTCAGCTTGTGTTCCATCATTGCGTTGCCAATATTGTTCTAAGAGAGGAACGGTGAAAGTTTGTGGAGTATTTGGCTCGGGAGATTCTCGAGAGAAATACAGCAGGTTGATATCATTGGCACTAATTAATCGCACGTCAGCAGCATTGTTTTTTGAGCTTTGACCACCTGGACCCGGCACATAACGAACAGTATATTTAAGGTTTCCACCGTAAGAAGTAATCTGGTCACCTAAGAAGATACTAGGCAACTGCCAGTAGTAAACATCATTATTTCCCCGATTGGGGAAATTACTGTAAATGATTTCACGGCTGACTGCGTCTAGATGAATACCTTCCGTGATTGGTACAGCGTCTGGAGTTTTAGATTCAATAAGAGAAAAATCTCTGATAGAATTGGTAAAAGAAACTCGAATCTGCAAAATATGATGTTCTTGTATTAATTTGTTAAAGAGTATATTTTTTACAAATTGTAACATGAAATATACTCACGTCATTTCTATACCAGTTGGAGGAAACACATTTATTGGTAACACCCATGCAGAAGCAGCTGATGCAACCAAATTGATTTTTTGATGCCAAATTGAATGTATTTGCCTTACATTGATTGCAAGTAAGACCCGTCGTGTATAACTGTAAACCAATTTATTTTAATTGTATGGATCAAACTAATATCCCCAATTAACCGATCAAATTATTAAAATATAATTTTTCCCATCTATCTTAAATTATACTTACTTTTTAACAAATTAGAAATATTTCCGTGTTGAACGACAGCATAAAGAATATTGAACACGTTATAGAAAATTGTTTTATATAAGCAAATAATTTTTTATTTCTGCACAAATTTTTATTTAGCTA